TGCCACCATGCCTGGCCAATTTTTGTATTTTTAATAGAGACGAGGTTTCACCATGTTGGCCAGGTTGATCTTGAACTTCCAACCTCAGGTGATCCACCCACCTCAGCCTCCCAAAGTGCTGGGATTACAGCATGAGCCACCATGCCCAGCCTATAGTAGCTTAAATAAGATGAAAGTCTATTTGTCTCTCATGTAAAGGCCCAGTGAATCGTCTAGAATAGTAGCCAAAATGTCAGAAACTGAGGCTCCTTCTACCTGGTTGTTCTGCTGCCCTCACCTCACACCTACATTGTGTGATCCAAAACGGCTGCTCCAGCTCCCACCATCACATCCACATTCCAACCACTGGGAAGAAGTAACAAAAGCCAACTGTATGCCCCTACCCTTTAAAGTTACAACCCAGAAGTCATACACATCACATCCTATTTGCCCAAAATTGAGTCACATGGCCACATCTATCACAACCGAGGCTGGGAAATTCGGTTTTATCTGGGCAGCATGTGCCCATTCAGCCAAAATTCAGGGGTTCTGTTATGAAAGGAAGAGGAAAGGCCGGGCATTGGTGGCTCACACCTGTAATCCCAGCACTTTGGGGGACAAACGGGTGGATCACCTGAGGTCAGGAGTTCAAGACCAGCCTGACCAACATGGTGAAACCCTGTCTCTACTAAAAATACAAAATTAGCTGGGCATGGTGGCTTATGCCTGTTGTCCCAGCTTCTTGGGAGACTGAGACAGGAGAATTGCTTGAACCCAGGAGGTGGAGGCCACAGTGAGCTGAGATGGAGCCACTGCACTCAAGCTTGGGCAAGACAGAACCAGACTCTGTCTCAAAAAACAAAACAAAACAAAACAAAAGGGAAGAGGAGAGAATGGCTATTGAGGGACCACAAGTGTATCTGTCACAACCAGGGCTCCACCACTAAATGACTAAATGACTCAAGGTGAAGTGACTCCACCACACTGTTGAGCATTTAATAAGCCTCAGTTTGGCTGGGCGCAGTGGCTCATGCCTGTAATCCTAGCACTTTAGGAGGCCAAGGCAGGCGGATCACTTGAGGTCGGGAGTTCGAGACCAGCCTGACCAACATGGAGAAACCCTGTCTCTACCAATAATACAAAAACTAGCCGGGCATGGTGACACATGCCTATAATCCAAGCTACTCAGGAGACTGAGGCACGAGAATTGTTGAACCCAAGAGGCTGAGGTTACGGTAAGCCAAGATCGCGCCATTTCTCTCCAGCCTGGGCAACAAGAGCGAAACTCCACCTCAAAAAAGAAAAAAAAAGAAGAAGAAGAAGAAGCCTCAGTTTCCTCACCTGCAAAATGGGAATCCCCTCTACCCCTCAGGGTTGACGGGTGGTTGAGCATTTAATGAGAGTCTGGATGTCAGGCACTTAGCACAGGACCTGGCCCATCATCAGCCTGGCGTGTGTCAGAAATCATCTTGTGCCTGTGGATCTAGGCTGCGGGTGATGTGGCTCTTTGTGTATGAGAAACTGTCCCTGAGCCTGAGAGCTGAACCCAGCACTGAACTTGGTAAGTAACTTCTCTAAAACAAGGGATCTGGCCTCTGCACACATGGAAATCCCCTCTCTGCCTCCTAGATCTTGGGACTGGGCACGTGTCCTTCCACTCTTCCCCTTCTGCTGGAGAAACACAGACTTCAAAGATAGGGGGGAGGGTCCTGCTTGGAGTCTCCAGCCTCCCAGCCTTCACAGAATTCAGCACTTACAGCCTGGCCAACATGGTGAAACCCCATCTCTACTAAAAATACAAAAATTGGCAAGGTATGGTGGCACACATCTGTAATCCCAGCTACTAGGGAGGCTGAGGTGGGAGGATGGCTTGAATCCGGAGGCAGAGGTTGCAGTGAGCCAAGATCATGCCACTGCACTCCAGCCTGGGTGACAGAGTGAGCCTCTGTCTCAAAAAAAAAAAAAAAAAAAAAATGTAAGCACTCACCTCTCAACTGCCAAAGCTCCTCTGGGTGACAGTCCTAGCATCCCGGGGACAGCTCTAATGCCAGAAGTCACACCCTCAATGCATTTCTCAGGGCCCTAGCTGCGTGTTCTCACCACATCCAGTAAACCCAGAAAGGCAGAGAACATCTCTCCTAGATGCGTGCATGAAATCTGCCAAATCTTAAATGCCTCTGACATTCAAAAAAATGACTTTAGGAGTGTGAGCGATGGCCAGGCACAGTGGCTCACACCTGTAATCCCAACCCTTTGGGAGGCCGAGGTGGGAGGACAAATTGACTCCTGGAGTTCAAGACCATCCTGGGCAACGGAGATAGATCCCGCCTCTAATCCCAAACATGGTGGCAGGTGCCTGCAGTTCCAGACACTCAGAAGGCTGAGGAGGGAGGATCGCTTGAGCCCAGGAAATTGAGGCTGCAGTGAGCTGTAAGCATCCCACTGCACTCCAGCTGGAGTGACAGAGACCTTGCCTCACACACACAGACACAAACACACACACACACACACACACACACACACACACACACACACACAAAATCAGGGCATGGTGGCTCACACCTGTAATCCCTGCACTTTGGGAAGCCAAGGTGGGTGGATGGGCCAGGAGTTCAAGACCAGCCTGGGCAACATGGCAATACCCCATGTCTGCAAAGAATACAAAAAATACCCAGGCATGGTGGTGCCCAGCAACTTGGGAGCTAAGGTGAAAGGATCACTTGAACTCGGAGGCGCAGGTTGCAGCGAGCTGTGATTAAGCCACTGCACTCCAGCCTGGGCGACAGAGGGAGACTCTGTCTCAAAAAAAAAAGAGTGTGAGAGGTAAACAGAACACGTCTGCTCTTTAAGTGTGTTTGCAGACCTTTGTGTAAGCCAAACTTTAATTTTACAGACAGGGAAACTGAAGGGTCCAGAGAGGGAAGAGACTGACTTGGTGAATCAGTGGGTCTGGGATTTCATGATTCACAATAACCAAGTGGCCAAATTCATCAGCACTCCTGGGACAACCAGCATCGTGTGCCTCTTGATATGATGTACAGAGAAGGACACAGCATCACTTCTGTAACACTCCTGCCACCAGAATCTAATTGCAAGGAAATATCACACAAACCCAAATCAAGGAGACCTTCCCCAAAATAACTGGACTGTAATCTTCACAACTGTCAATTACATGAAAAACAGAGAAAAGCTAAGGAACTGTACCAGACTGAAGGAAACTGAAGAGATGAAAATATTTTGCCATGACAGATAGTTTGGGGACAGCTGGCAATTTGAATACAGGCTGTACTGCACTATTGATACTAGTATCACTGTGAAATGTACACAGCTCTGCTGTACTTGGAAATCCAACTGAAGCATTTAGAGGCAAAGGGAGGTAATGTCTGAAACTAGTCTTGCAACTTCTCTGTAAGTTTAAAATGATTTCAAAAGAAAAAAAATGATTTCAAAGTAAAAGTCATGATTTAAAAGTCTATGGCTTTGGCCAGTCACGGTGGCTCTCGCGTGTAATCCCAGCACTTTGGAAGGCCAAGGTGGGCAGATCACTTGAGGTCAGGAGTTCAAGACCAGCCTGGCCAAAATGGTAAACTCCCTCTCTACTAGCAATACAAAAAGTTAGCCAGGTGTGGCAAGATGCACCTATAGTCCCAGCTACTCAGGAGACTGAGGCATGAGAATTGCTTGAACCAGGGAGGCAGAGGTTGCAGTGAGCCGAGATTATGCTGCTGCACTCCAGCCTGGGCAACAGAGAGAAACTCTGTCTCAAAAAACAAAAAAAAAAAGAAAAGAAAGAAAGAAAGAAAAGTCTATGGTTGGCCAGGTGCGATGGCTCACGTCTGCAATCCCAGCATTTTGGGAGGCCGAGGCGGGCAGTGAATCACGAGGTCAGGAGATTGAGACCAGCCTGATCAACATGGTGAAACCCCGTCTCTACTAAAAATACAAAAATTAGCTGGGCGTGGTGGCACGTGCTTGTAATGTCTCTGGAGGCTGAGGCAGGAGAATCTCTTGAATCCAGGAATCAGAGGTTGCAGTGAGCTGAGATGGCGCCACTGCATTCCAGCCTGGGCAACAGAGCCAGACTCCATCTCAAAAAAAAAAAAAGGAAAGAAAAGTCCATGGTTTTAAGGTTCTGTGTTTCCAAAGATCTCTAAGTCTGTGCATGCATTTGTGGTCAGAGTCTGGGGAGTTGGCAACGTGAATGAGCTGCTTCAGACACTGCTTTGAGGGTTCGACCAGGACCTTAGCCTGTGGTTAAGGTCTAGGTGCAGTGCCAGAGCCTTGGGGGTGTGACCAGAGTCCTGGAGGCGTGGCCAGGGCCTCGAAGGTGTGGCCGAGAAACTCAGTTCCCAAGGGAGGAGGTAAGCCTGTGCTCAGTGCGCCCTCTTGTGGCTATCCCCAGGTCTCCACTTTTTATTTAATAGCTTTATTTCGTTTTATTTTTTTCGACTTTCATTTTAGATTTAGGGGGTACATGTACAGGTTTGTTACCTGGGTATATTGCATGATGCTGAGGTTTGTGTTACGACTTATCCTGTCACCAGGTACTGAGCATAGTACCCAACAGTTTTTCAACCGTTGTCCCCTCTTTCCTTCCCTCCCCCCTTCAGAAATACCTAGTTTCTGTTGTCGCCATCTTTCCCTCCCTAAATACTCAACGTTTAGCTCCCACTTACAAGTGAGAATGCGCGGTATTTAGCTTTCTGATCCGGCCTAACCGTTCTACTAAGATATAACGTGTATATCGTAACATTTTTGTTTTTCAGAGTTAATTCAATTTATTATTCTTGTATAAAAACTCTATGTTGTAGCCACAGCTGGAGCCTGGGTCCTCTGCACAGAGACTCTGGCGCGGGCCTTGACAAGGTGGTCAGTGAATTCCTGATAGGGAGACTCGGTGAATACCATCTCCTTCCAAAGGCTGGGAGTCAGGCGGCTGTAGGTCTTAGAGATGGCATCAAAGGTGGCCTTGGTGAAGTTGCCCTGGGTGGCAGTGCAGCTCCTGGCTGAGCCGTAGCAGTCATCGACACCAGCCATCATGAGCAGCATCTGGGGCACAGGTGCCAAGACAATGCCAGTGCCCCTGGGCGTGGGGATGAGGCGAACCAGCACACAGCCGCAGTGGCCTGTCACCTTGCAAGGGACCATGTGGGGCGTGCCGATCTTGTTCCCCCAGCAGCCTCTGCGGACCGGGACAATGGAGAGCTTGGCCAGGATGATGGCCCCACGGATGGCAATGGCCACCTCCTTAGAGCAATTAACACCCAGACCGACGTGGCCATTGTAGTCGCCAATGGCAACAAACGCCTTGAACCTGGTGCGCTGGCCGACTCGGGTCCGCTTCTGCACCGGCATAATCTTCAAAACCTCATCCTTAGGCCGGGCGCGGTGGCTCAAGCCTGTAATCCCAGCACTCTGGGAGGCCGAGGCGGGTGGATCAC